TTTATGAATTTTTAGAATTTATTAAAAAACGTATTTTAATGTTAATATTTTCATCTATGAAAAAGCATAAAAAATAAAGAAAAATATGTTTACAAAATGATAAAACTTCTATGTCTATTTTATAAAAACAATTCAGAAAAAGTTTTTAAATACAGTTTATTAATATACAGTTGAATCCCATTTATACATTTTTCAAGGGATCTGAGAAAAATGTACAAGTTAAACTACTTTTGTGACAACTATATTCTCTCTAAAAGCTTCTCTAAAAGCCTATTCAAAAATACAATATGACCCAAATTAACTACACAAGTGAATTTGTATGTGTAATTTTTAACAAAGAAGTTTCAATTTAGTATGTATAATATGTTTGAACAACATATAAAAGGAAAAATTAAATTAGTGAAATTAAGTCATGTACTTTTAAAAAAATTGATTGGTTTGTTTGTTGTTTCTCTCAATGAACTTGTCATATATCAGTACAATGTGTGATATCAGTTGTCTTCTTCCATCAAAAGTCCAATCTCATGAAAGAATGAAGAATCATTCTAAAAGTTAGATCACACTGATAGTAAATATTGAAAAAGAATGGGACAGTGATTTGTGTAGTAAAATTGATCCACAAAACGAAATGTGGAAAGTGAAAATTTTCAATGTTTTTGGACTGACACAACAATTTGGTAAATGGGAAAAATTAGTTGAAAATGGTATTGTGTTACAAATTATTCACTCTACTTTTTCATTTTCTGATGATTTGCTGTTGGTGTTGACTAAACTGACATGAATACATAAATCACTTTCTTTAATATTTGTTTTGTTTTTCCATTTCAAAGTGAGTAACACGAGTGAGAAAAAAGTGCTGTAGTCTACTAAGCATAATGTGTAGGCACAAAAGTGTACTTATATAAATGAAAAATTTATTAGTGAAGTATTTTATAATGGAGAAAGTACTGTGAAGAAAATATTAATGTATAATTGCAAAATGTACAGTACATCTGGGAATGTATAAATGGGTTCAACTTTACGAATGTTCTGTGCAGAAAGATAATAAGTAAATACTGTATTTACTCGTGTATAAGATGATCTCGCATATAGAACGAGGTGTAACTTTAAAGATCAAAATTTAAACATTAGATTTATTAATACAATTCTAACTTTATTTTGTTTAATCACAAATAAAATATCAAATGCATGTAAATGCACATATTGTCCTGCAAAAATTACTTTTAAACTTTAAGGAAAAATCTTGTAAAATCAACAACATAATTTGTTTGTGTAAAGCTGGACAATCAGGAACCTTTTTTTGCCAATTTTTAACAGTCGAATCCATTCTCCATCAATTACACTTATGAGTTTCTCCAAATTTTGATTTCCAAATAATCATTTGTTTTCACAAGGGAATGGATTAAAACTTATACAGTATTGGGTTCCATGTGAGTTTGGAATTTTTAATTTGTAATTCAATTCAAAAGTTTGCTTTTCCTATTGCAATTCATCTTTACTCCTGACAACACACAAGGATTCAAGTGGTCCAGATAAATTACTTTTGTTTTTAAACACCAGAGGATGAGCATCCAGTAAAAATTGTGAATACACACTTCACATAAATTATTTCAAAAACACAAAAAATCCTTCGCTCACATGTATAGGACAACCTAGTTTTTGAAGAAGTGAAAAATGAATAAATACCTTGTCTTATGTGTGAGTAAGTGCAGTATTTCATTTTTATTTTCAGATTGTTATAAAATGTAACAGAGAAAGTATGGAAATCAGTCAAATTTAGGGCAATAAATACATTTCCAGAACAATTTTGTGTATTAATATTAAGACATTGATTTTTTGTTACTGGATAGTTTATTATTTTGTATATTTTTTCAATGTGAAAGAGTGCATTGATATGAAAAAATACCATAAGGCCTTGCACATAAACTTATAAGTATTGTTTTTCATACTTAGTGTCACTAGAGTATCAAGCTGATTGTTAAATTATTTAAATCCCACTACTAATTGTGTAATTGAAAATTATCATTCTTCCTGGTCTCCTTAACTTCCTGTTTGAGTGCTGGGAAAGTTGTACAAGAGCCCTTGCCAGCTTTTCATTCAAGCTTACAAGATATTTAAACCATTACATGATACTAAACATTTTTACAATAAAAACTGATTATTTTTAAGCTTGTTTCAGTTTTTCATAAAACTGAAACAAGCTTAAAAAATGAAACAAGAGTTTTTATGAAATTAGAAATAATAAGGATGAATCAGTCAGTTTTGGTTACTAAAGTGTGGTTTTCAGTTGAAAAACAGAAATCACACTTTGGTAACCAAAACTGATTCATCAGTATTCATTTAAAAAATTTCATAAAAATTAAAACTTGAATTATTAGAAATGAGAAATTCCATGCTTACAATACGTATATTTAAAAACCAAAAATTTGTTGTTTTTATTATTTTTTATAATTGACTAGAAAAATCAGTGATGTGTGATGAAACAAGACTAATTACTGGTACAAGAATGACTAATTACTGGTACTAAATTTTAGCTGATTTAATCAGTTGATCCCTAGTATGTGGTGGTTTCTGGAAAAATTGCCGTGGCAGATGAATGCATGACGTGTAGACTTTTTTATACTTTTCTTAAAGATAAACTTTATACAAACTTACCAAGATCATTTATTGGATGAGTTTACAATTGCAACTGAAAATTGGCAGATAACTTGGACATTGTGTAATACACTTGCTTTCAAATTGACTTTTAAACACAACTTGTAGGTTATTTGCAAGAAGTTACTGTAATTTATTATTAATTGTAAATTTGACCAAAGTATTTTCTTTTTATCTTGAAACTTATGAATATAATACTTATTTAAGGCAACTGAAAATATTTATTTCAGAAACATTTTTGTTGCTTTAAATAAGAAGTATATTCATAAGTTTTGAGATGTGTGTGGTACTGTTTAATGAAATTTTCAGATATGTTTTCTGTTCTAATTTAAGTTTATTTCATTGTTTTATTTACATTGCCAATATATAGACTATATAATTTATATTAGTAACAAAACTGGAAGCTGTCATTGTTGTTATTATTTTTATCATCATTTCCAATTCTATATTATGTGATTTATTGTTGTTGTTATAACTTTAAAACAAATGATATCATTTGTTCTAAAATTTACAACAAAAATAATCTATTAAAGAGACAGGTTATAATATTTACAAATTACATATTTTTTAACATGTAACAGTATGATTATATATTAAAAAATATGAATGTTTCTGCAATCTGTTTCAAGTCTTATTTTAACCTAAAAAATAAATTTATAATATTACATTGAAGAGTTTAGATTTTTTAATTAATTTTTAACACCCTATGTATAGGGTGTTAAATATTATTGTGTGTTTATATGGTGGTTTATTTATTTATTTTCTAGTTTTGTAATTTGTTTTGAGTTCTTTACTAGTTATTTCAGTTCTGTTCCAGTTCCAATGACATGGGAGTTTATCACATTTTTCTTAATACACTAGTTGAACTCAACAAGATATTTACTGTAAAAATTTAAGTTACAAATAGGAAAAATAAAGAAGCTAATAAATTTCATGTAAATAAATTTATTTAAGTAACTTATACAATTTCTGTACATACACACATACTTAGATTTGATTCTATTTTTGGTTAAAGACTAATATTAAAATATTAACAAATATATCTGTATATTATCTCATCTTGTAATATTTGTTATTCCGTAAAGATAGGATTTATTTATAATTAGCTATTCACTCTTGCATGCAGAGAAATCTCCTATCAACTGTGGTTAACCAGACAGTTATCCACTATGCTGAAGAACATATATACAGATATTTATTTCAATGTGATACAGTAGTCCTGCTAATCCAAATGTTTGCATGTTTTGGGCAGCAAAGAAGAAATTTTCTGTAACAAGAGGTCCACTTAGGAGTGTTCCCTTTTCTCTTTCATGAGTGAACAAGGCATCATCAAGCTTGTTAAATGTTGAGGACCTTGCTATTTGTTGATTTTCAACTGTTTTTTCTGAAGTAGAGGCACAAAACTGCTCAATCTTTGCATGATTTTTTCCAGTCAGTAATTGTGGCTTTGCCCACTCCAAACTCTACTGCGAATTTTGTTTCAATTTCACCCTTGTCCAGCGTGGGGCACTGGCATTATTGATACTGTTGGATCTATATAAACCAGACCTGTTTTACTGTTTGCTTCTGCATTATTTCAATTATTCAGCTAATCTGAACTGGGCTCTGTCCAAATTAGTTTGGAATATTGGGACTCTACTGTATTATATTTTACATGTCTGGTAATTTTAACTGTGATTATCATAGTTCACAGATCCTCTGTACCTGATAATGGAGTCATAAATGAATATATTTGTAAATGTGGACATTGTGAAGCACTGTAAATATAAAAATAAAATGGTTTTCAAAAATACATTTATTGCTATTTAAATGCATTAAAGTTTTGTAGCCATGTTTTTGATAGTGTGCACATTGAATTTGTAAGTTTCCTTTTTTTCAGGTTTTAGTATCTCAAATCAGGTATATATTAGATTTTATGGCATGTTAGAATGAAGAAAACACAGTATCTTTCTGAACTGTGGACATGACAAAACTATGAGAGAAATTAAGGATATATATGACACTATTTAGTTATTTGTAGTAATACAAAATTTTAATTAGTTTATACCCATTTTTAATTCTTCTGGCATTATCCTATTTCTGCTTTTAATACTCCTGACATTCCATCTAATATTGTTGCTTTACTTTCTAATTATTAATTTTTAACATATATTAAGGTATATAATATACTCATTTTATATAAATAACACATTCACATGCATGCTCTTTTATAAAATTAATGTATTTTTATAAAATAAATTGAATTTATCTTTGAATATAGTAAAAACATAATTTAGAATAAACAATGTTGCTGCATTTAAAACCTATTGATTATTTCTTCATTAAAATTAATTTTATTATTTTAGATTTAATTGAACTTCTACAAAAATTAAATGGAACAGCAAATTATCAACGAAATGAAGAAGAAGAAGAAAAGCCGACTGAAAATAAACATAGTAGCCCCTCTTTTCGGAGAAGAAAATCAGGTGTTTCAACTTCAGCAAATGAAGATGGAAGCAGTCAGAAATCAGAATGTACAAAAGAGCAAATAGATGCTGTTAAAAGGTAGATTATAATTTACTTTCAAATTTTCTAGTTTAGAGTGAAAATTAAAACAATCGACAGAACAATTGTTTAGTTTGTACTAAGCATGTACTAAGTTTTATGAAGAAACCAACTGTTTCACATAATGTCAGTCAAAGAGTAAATAATATTTTGGAACTAGCCAAGCAAATTATGAATTTCATAAAATTTCAGATCATGGAATGAAAATAGATAGACTTTGCAAACTTAAATTTTGTTAATTTTTAAATTAGCTAGCTATCATTTCTTAAGAGTATCATTATTTATAATTTTTACTGTTTGTTTATAAAAGACCAAGAAATTAAGGAACAATAAAAATAAGTTATTTAATTATAATATCTAAAACTAGTTAATTCAAATTTTATTACAATTAAAAAATATCCTATATTTATGACAAGCAATACGTGTAAAAAATTTCAATTGAAATCTTATGTAGTATGAATTTATAATCTAAACCAGCGTTTCTCAAAGTGGGCAGTAACACCCCCTTGTGGACGATGAGTAAATCTAGGAGGCGCTGGAGGTAGGTATTGAACGGTGACCAAAAGCAAAATTGGAGTCATTGAAAGCCATCCCTTTCCTTTGTTAAACTGATAAGAGGAAACATTACGTTTAATGGTTTCCAGATGTTGAGAACAATGTACNCGTTAGGCAATGAGGGGCAATAAACCCAGCAGGGAAACAGGGTGGGTATATAAGAAATAAGGGTGGATGGTAGAGCTCTCTTTTCCTTCTCAGCACATTTGGAGAAGCAGGTGAAGGCAATCACCTACAGCTGGATCTTATAACGGAAACATCAGAAGCCAATGAAAGAAATTGGGATTGACCTGACAGTTAGAAGAAGACGGCGAATGCATGACAAGCCTCTGAGGAACCCTTCCCTGTATTCTAATTGTATACGGTAAACTAATGTTGTAAATAATTTTGCAGATCGGAAAAATATATAATTGTCATGAAAACTAAACAAGTGATCATCACCAGAATGAAGAATCAGATTTATGTTAACTCAAATTCGTGTTGAGGAAATAAAACCTACAAAACAATGTTTTTGCTTACTTTTCACAGCTGTCCCTACTTAATATAGATATGTGATTTAATTAGATATATAGTATAAGAAACTAGCTGATGAGCCCGGCATTGCCCGGGAAAAAAGTAACAATAGTGAAGATTAACATTATTACATTATAGCCAATCTTACCCATTTTCTCGGAATGCAAGAATTAGGTTGCCATGTTTCCAGACTAATTAGAAAATTTTTAGATGGGTCTAAAAATATGTTCTATTTCTCGCAAAAACACAAAAAACCGCATCTGTGCCTGTAAATCTTGCACGTCGCTTTCTCTTAACACTTCAATTCTTACTTAACCACTTTCATTGTTAATAACCTCTCCCCGTGGGGAGAATTTCGAAAAATCCCTTCTTAGTATACGTTCCCATGACGACCCTAACTGTGTTCCAAATTTCAACCTTTAACTCTTAACCATTTGGACTCTGTGCTTCTTATTATTATACAGAGTGGCTATTTCAAAGGGCAATTTTGGCAACTAAAAATAATAATGTCAACGATATCAATTTTAATATTCAAAAGAAAATTCAGAACTGGCAAGAGCGCCCCTTTGATTTATATTTTATACAATGCCCAAACTTAAAATTGGGCATTGTATAAAATATAAATCAAATCAACTTTTTATTAACAAATACACTAAGTACACTTTATACAGTTTTCACACTTTATTTTTGATTTGTATTCAGTTACTGTATTACTTTGACTACTCACACTTCACTGTTTTTATTCACTCACTGCACTACTCTGGAATTTTCACTTCTTTTTCAATCGTTAAATATTCCAACAAATACTTACTTATATATCTGTAGATCAAAATCTATAATCTTAGAATCATATAATTAATCAAGTCATTTTCCATAGAATGTTGGCAATTTTTGACAATTAAGTTATATTTAAAGTTTTAAAAACTTTTAAAGATGTTTTCAATAAAATTTGTTGAATTTGTCTTAAAGTAATTGCATGTTTGTTTTAATAGGATAAAGCAATGTAAAGATTATTATGAAATTTTGGGAATAAGTAAAGATGCTGGTGAATCGGAATTAAAGAAACAGTATAGAAAATTAGCTTTGCAGTTTCATCCAGATAAAAATAAAACTCCTGGTGCAGCTGAAGCTTTTAAAGGTAATCTCTTAAAACTTGTATTTTATTTGTCTATACCCTTATTGTGGTTTAAAAAAAAGTGTTATAGATATGCAAAAATAAAATTAACAAGAATAGTTTACAGTATTAGGATTGTGATTTCTTTCTCCCCATCTTCCAAGTTTTCTTACTTTACTTACTGTCTTCATTTGGCCTGAGTGGGACTTTTGGGCTAAACAAGAAATTAAAATAGTATGACATTTTAGTTTTTAAACTTACTAGCTGAGAAGTCCTCTCACAAATATTATTAGAAAGGAGAATTGTAAAATTAATGATTATTTGTATATTATTATATTATAAAAAACAGATTAGAGGAAAAATACTTGTTACTAGAATGGAAGAATGAGACTTGTTGGATCAGTTTTGCTGCTGGGAGTCAGGTTAAGAAATTAATATATATATATATATATTTTTTATTATTATAACAAAATATAATAAGGTTCTTTTATAAGTTGAATTTTATCCGGAAATTGAAACTCTTTATTCTGAAAGAAAACATATTTTAGATATAAAGGAATTAATAAAGTTTTGACCATTGCACAGTTTATTAAAATCTAATATTCAAATTTAAAATTTTGAATAGAATAATTAATATATAAGTTAAAATTGGAATATAACATTACAAAAATATTTTAGTCTGTGACATCATACAAGTAATGTATTATCTGCATATTTGAAGCTGCATTCTGAAACTTATTGCAAAAAACTATCAAACTGGATATATAACAACAAATATTTATATATTTCTAAACTATTAAATTACATTAAATAATTATCTACTGTACAGAAAGTCAGTTATACTATATGGTGATTAAAAGAT